GGTGGCGAGGAGCGGCGGCGGAGAGCGGCTCGGTGGTTACGCTTGGCGCCGGCCGCCTGATGCTCGTGTGAGTCTGGCCCGACGACTCTCGACGTCTCGAGGTCCTCGAGGTGGATATCCTTTGGCCGCGTTGGGTAGCGAGGATTGGTGTAACCCGAGCCACGGAGGCGTGTTTTCTGACGGCCGACCGTCAGTGCCCACGACTGCACGGTGTGGGGACTGCGACAAGGGACAGAATTATTTTGTGGGGGGCAGAATTATTCTGTGGGGGGCAAGAATTTCTTTTTTGCCTGCAGCTGTGACGAACCTACCTACATCGACTGTGAGAGAAGCTGCTTTTGCGTAAAATATTAAATGAACTCGGGGGCACAGGACGCGGTACAAACGCGGTACACCAAAAGGCACGGGCTGCCTGCACGGCGTTCACTCGAACGCCATGCACATGGCGCGGAGCAGCCCCGGGTTGGTGTCGAACCCGAGCGGGTCCTCCTCCCAATCCCGGCGCCCACCCTCCGCGTCGTCCTGCTCATCGTGCGCGTCGAGCACCCTGCCGAGGCACAGGATCGTCCCCTTGGGAACGCCTGCCCCTCGCGCGCGTGGGAACTCTCCCTGCACCGCCATCACGAACTTCTCGCGCGCCCACTTGCCGCCACGGCGGCAGTGCTGGGGCGCGCGCTCGCGCAGCTCCTCGTAGAGCTCCTCGGCCCTCGCCACCTCCGCCGCCCAGCCCTCGGCTCCGCCGACGCCTGAGCCGACTTCTTCTCCCTGAGCGTCTTGAACACCACGGCGGCGGCGCCGGCGATGGCGCCACCTCCGGCTCGCCCGCCGCCTCTGCAGCGCGCCGCCCCTTCCTCGCCTTCTCCTTGAGCCGCTTCCTAGCCCTACAGGTAGGCGCCACATTAACTGCACATGCGCGCACTTAGTAGCGGCGCACACGAGAAGCCGAGCACCCGAAGTCGGCACATACTCATACCAGCTCTATCTTACTCACTAACAACTTAAAACTCATATTAAACACGGCCACGCTCATACACCATTTTTCAGAAATTATGTAGCGAGCACAATCGTCAAAGGGTGGGTAAACTCTTCGGGCGGCTCGAAGGGCATCTTCCCGTGTGCAGCACACGCGCCCGAGCCTGCCTCCGTGGTAGGGGGCGGGGGGGGCGGGGGGCGGCTCTCGGCGGTGACGGCGCAGGGTGGCATTGTGCTGCAGCAGAAACTGACCCTCTCTGTCTGCTGTTATAGCTGTACTCAGTACGACAGGAGCTCTCGACTCCGTCGAGTCGCTCGACGGACGACGCCCGAGGCTCTGCTATACCCAGTTTGCTACCGGGTTACTGCTCTGCTTCCGGATGCTACCGCGGGCCGACTCCCTTTTGGCTCCCTGTCTCCGCCCCTCGTTCAACGGGCGCTCGGGTTGGACGCCTATTTCCGCTCTGTCCCGGCGCCTTGGGCGTTTCGAAAGCGCGGAGTGGCGGGGCATTTCCCTGCCCAAAGCGCCCCGTTCTGGGGGGCTTCCTGAGGCGACATTTTTCTAACGGGGCTGGGGTGGACCCCCCGGAGCCCCTTTGGAAAATGGGAT